CCCCCGCCGCCCCTGGCATGGGTCACTATGCATGAGGCACCACAAGTTTTCCCTTAGGGAGTCTGAACAGCCTGAAAAATGTCCAAGTGTCTTGATAAGAGGTGTGGGTGTTCTCAGGAATTCAAATTCCTGCAGCAGGCAGCTGCAGCGTGCAGCAAAATCTGCAGGAACCAAGAGTGGGCCAGGGACGGGAACCCCGGTAAGACAGAGAAACATGGCCGAGTAAGAAGTCTGTGGTGTGTGTGTGTGTGTAGGGGGCGAGGGGATGACAGGAATGTTTCAGAGGGTGGTGACTGATGAAGGGGGACAATGGCCTGGTGGCTGCATGAAAAGGATGGAAAATAATGGCCACCGCTGGGTAGGTGAGACCTCGGAAGCTGCAGGGAACTAGAAAGGAGGCTGAAAGGAGTCAGGAAAAACCTGAGGCTGTCACCCAGCTCTGCCACTCTTAGGGGTATGTGTTATGGTCACACCACCTATAGCGACCTCAATTTCTATTCTCTAAAGACTGAAGTAGAGGGTCACTAACGCTCTTTGTAGCAGGACAAGGATCTCTGGAATGGAATCATGTTTGTGAGGGCATCCTGACCAGACAAAAAACAAACAAGAACTTCGGGTGGTTAATCCTTTTCAATACAGGCTTCATACCGTGATCTGCACAGTGGGGCTCTTGCTCCTCATCCCCTGGGAGGGAAGCAATGGTCTCAGGGGAGTGAGAATTTCGCCTCTGGTTTGGTTTGACTCTGCTAGGTGCTGTTCGAAGGTGAGGAGGGACATAGGAGACGGTGTATTTTTAGACACAGTTGTTCTTTCCCCAGATTTTTTGCCTTGGAAGGCAGAGGTTGGATTTAGGTTTGTCTCAAAGGTCGTACATGAATCTACCGTCAGCACACTCAGGCCGTCCTGTATGTGCCCTTGGTCAGTCGAGGATGTCTCCACTACCGTCGACTGTCCTTACAGCCTGTGCTTGGGACATGCTGGGCTCCCAGAAAGCTGAGCAGCCCGGTGGCCTGGTGGCCTGGGTAAGCCTAAGAACGGGGCCTCACGGGGCCAGTCTCAATCACAGGAACGAAAGGCTTCTCTCACTTCAAAAAAAGCACCCAAATCTTCTGAAGAGAGATGAGCAGTCTGGCTTTTTTTTTTTCTTTCTTTCTTTTTTTGGTGGTAAAAAGTACAGCCTGGAACAAAGTTTTATTTAGGTAAGTCTAATAAAAAAATACCAAGAAGTAAAACACATTAAAAACTTTATTTTGTTTCATATCTGTCCAAATTTACATCAATTTGATATATTTCTACTCATTTTACAGAACACAATCATTGCAATTTCCTTAAATCTCAAGAGTGACCCTGCTTTAGATCTTTTCATGTTCGTCCACCTCCGGCCTTCTCCACCTCTCTGTGATGGAATCCTCCACGGTCTACTCTGCCTTATGCCGAATTTCCGGTCAATCCTTGGGGCCAGGGAGAACCTGCTTCTAGAGGGGATGGCCCTGCAGCTGGGATGAGCAGAGTGTTTTCTTTTCTGCTCTAGGGCTGAGCCCACGCTGAGCCAGCCACCGAGCAGGTGGGTCTGGCCCCGTATTGCTCCAGCCTGCCCACTGTCCTCTTTGCTTTCTCTTTGCCTCATTTTCACCCCAACCTGAGTGGGTAACTGTGGATATTCTATGTAAAATTAACTCGAGTTAAGTTTCATGGAGTATTCCAGATCCTAGATTCAGCATTTATCATCATTATTTTTTAATGGAAGTGGGGAGGAGGAGGGGGTGGAAAATTCCCTGGACAAGAATGGGCTGGGACAGTATAGAGTAGAATTTAGTTCTGTTTCTCCTTCATCACCTAGGCCTGGCCAGCACTGCACGCAGCAGATAGGTACTGCTCACCCCCTTGGAAGTGTGGACACTGAATAGTCACTGGAGTTTGAAAGCCAATTTGAGAAAAAAAAAAAAGAGATGAAAAAAGTCCCTGTGGAATAATCTGACATGTCCTTTCTTAAAACATTCCCCTTTCTCCTTTTACGGCATTTATGATCAGATATAATGTAGGAAGATGCATTATAATAAAAAGAATATTATAATAGCAGTAATTTCTCATCTGGAGTGTTCGTCAACTGCTTGCAGATATCTGCAATCTGAATGCATTTTAAACATTAGAAACGAGTGATGATTCTTCAAACTAAGGAAAATACCCGATAAAAAATAAAGATAGAAAACACATGCTAATTTAATGGCAAACTTAGAGTATGGAAATGTATTTTCGATACTCTTACAGTAACGATCTTGGAATTAAAGGAGGGAGCGCGAGAACCACCCTCTGCCCAAGAGAACAGTGAGAACGTAGGTGCCAGACGGTGCTGGGTGCTCAGGCTGATTCGGTATCGGGGACAGCGCCCGCTGTGGTCAGCAGCTTGGCAAGCGCCAGTGTTGTCAGCTGGGACCGTCACTGCTGCAGCAGGAAGTTGGTAGCCACATTAAGGTCATTGTTTGAAGCTCTCAGGGCTTCCAAAGCATCACCTCGAGAAAATCCCATCTCCATGAGCCGTGCGACCTGAACAGAAACAACACCAGAAACCTGATGAGGCTGATGGCGCTGCCAGACGTACGTCAGCTCCAAAATGCTCTTCATGTGAGTTTTGTAGGACAGGCTAAAAAACAAACTATTTTTCATTTCAGTGTGAAATCAGATGTTTAAAAAATTATAACAGGCACATTTTAAAGTGGTTACTATTTACAGCCAATAGATACACATTATCTCATTGAATCCTCCTTTTAGAGACCAGAAATGGGGCTCCTGAGGATCAAGTGACCTGCCAGGATGAGCAGAGGGTGGCTGAGGAGAGGGTGGCTGAGCTCGTGGGACCGGAAAGCACGTCTGTGTAAGATACCTCGTGCTCATCCGCCTCACCACACTCCTTCAGTGACACATCTGATTCCTGAGGAATAACTTCTCAAGTCGCATTTCCTACTGCATGCAAACAATCGTTTAACTGGAGATTTATTCCTGATGCTGGTAGACACTGACAATAAAGATGCTTTTGAGTTCTTGGCATCACACAGCCAGAACTCATCCCGTGTGTGCCCATACGTTTTTAGCATTTCATATTAGTTGTAACATTTGCTAAGTCCCCAGCCTGGGGCTCTGTAGGCAGTAGCAGCCATGTGTGAAGCGGGGTGACACAGGGGCAGAACCGCTGGAAAGAGGCAGGTAAAGCCACAAGGGCAGGGAGGATGAGGCTTGCATTTTTTTTGACCACAAATCCTGAACCTGTGAATATAGAGGTTTCCTGTACTTTTACATATAGGCAGCCTCCAATGTCAAAATAGGCAGAGTTACTAAAGTTTATTTATAACCTACTTTCCCATTTAAAAATGTATGATAAAAATATTTATGGCCCTGGATGAGCTATAGGCATCTATTTTTCGTACTTACATTAAAATATACTACATTTGCAATAATACATAGTGAAAACTGATACCCTTACAAATGTTGAAATTTTTAACAATGTGTTGTTTAAAGAGGCTTCTGTGGGCTGAGGACTCAGTTACCATTTCTAATCTTTCCCGTACAAAAAAAAAACGTGCTCGGTGCCAGCCAGTGTTGAGAATGCCGGATATTGCTTTCCTACTCCTCCTTCCCCTGCCTGGGGGAGCCAGGTGTACGTGTGATCGTGGGGCGGGGCGTGGGGTGGCTGGAGGAGCGAGCAGGGGGTGGGAGGGGTCTAAGTCTGCGAAGAGAGGGAGAAGGTGCAGAGCGAAGTGAGCGGTGGGTCGGGGAGAGGACTGGAGTGACTTCTCAGCACCGCCCAGGCCCAGACCCCTAGAACCCCTGTCCTTCAGGGAGCCTTAAGGAGAGGCTAACCCAACTGAGGAAACATGGCACGGGGGACACTTCTCAGAAGCTGGGCTTCTAGCCAGTGTTTTTCAAACTGAGACTGATCCCTCATTAGTGGGGTCATGAACAGTTAGTAGGTTATGACTAGGATTAAAAAAATGGGTGAAGTATGATATTCCATAAAATTTCATTTCAGTTCTCTACATTCACACACATGTATGCAGCGGGCTGTATTTCTTACTGTGGGCTGTGGTCAGAAACCTTTGACAGCTGTTTTCTATAGCAACAGTCAGTGCCGCGGGTGATTTCCAGCTCGACTCCCCCGGCTGATGGGATAGTGCAAACAGAATGGCAGGAATTTTCTGGTTTCATTTCCCACTCAAAGAAAGAACTGGTTTTTTTAGAATATCAAGAACATTCTTCGGTCACTGGCTAAGATGGAAAGTTCTTTGGCAAAGGGAGCAGAATCTGCCCCTCACTTGTTGCCATCTGTGGGACTGCAACGGTCCTGATTTTGCCCTTTGAGGTCGACAGGAAGCACCCCAATCCCTTTTCTGCGCAAAACACTTTGAAGGCCGCCTCCTCCTCTCCTCAGCCTTTCTGCTTCTCTAGGCAGCACCCCCAATCCTGGTTGGTCCCAGGCCATGCGGGGCCACGTCTCCCACCCTCATGGTGGTGTTTCCTCTGCTGGAAGACTCTTGGCCTTGGCCTGGTTAACTCCTTCTCATCCATAGGTCTCAGGGTGCTTGGCCCTTTCCTATGTCTCCAGACTAGGAAGAACTCCAGAGTAAAAGTCTCACGGCCTCGTTGACCTCTTTTCTGTGCTCCTTACAGCTCTGACTTTTACCTGTATTTGTAGGGTTGATTGCTTCTCCATATCACTGTATTGTAAGCTTTCTGAGAATAAGGGCCCTGGCTGCTTTCATTCATTCCTGTGTTTCAGTATCCAGCACTTTCTAGCCTTCCTCCCCCAATGCTTGCCATTTACGCCATCTCAGAATATGGTGCCCAGAACTGAGCATAGTACCGCTGGCATGCTCTGACCAGGGCAAAGGGCAGCTAGACTGCTGTCTTCCTGTGATCACGACCCTTATTACAGTAGAGGAATGCTTTAGTAGTGTGCATACACGTGTGTATTTGTGTTCACGTGCCCTCGTGTAGCTACATCAGACTGCGGTGTTCAGTTAAGTTGGAGCCTGCTAAAAACCCTCAGGTATTTTCACATGAAATGATCTCAAGCCAGGTTTCTCAATTCTCACCCTGTAAGTTTACATTTGATCTTCTAGGTTTAGGACACTGTACACATCTCTGTTAAATTTCCTGTTTTCTAGCCAACTAAAACTATTTCCAGTTTAAATTCTGTTGTCTACTATGTGAATCAGCTCCACACACTTATATCATTCCTAAATCTGATTAGCAAACCTCTACAAAGTATTCAAGTTATTATTGATGCAAATGTTAAGCAGGGAAGTTCAAAGATGAAGCCCAGAACTCACCGGAGACTTCTGTTTCTATTCAAGTGGCTAATTAACATTTTAAAAGAGGTTTTTAATCAGTTTTAAACCCACTTCATATTATCATTATCCATTACGCATGTCACCAACATATCTCTTAAGGTGATGAGATACTGTCAAATGTCTTGGTGACATCCTGTGTCAACAGGAGCAGTTTGGTGCTCACAGCATATAGACCACAGAATTCTCTTATGTTCACAAGTTGATAATCTAATTTTAGGCTTCTGCCAGACAAGAAATATCAGTTTTGCCATTCACTTCTCAGAATTAACACTTTTGCCTTTCCTGGGTAGGCATTTCAAACTGAGTATTATCTGCTTTCTCTACTCTGATCAGCATGCTTGGGGACAGGGGCCACAAGATATGTACTGGACGCATGCATGTCAACAGAGAAGAAATCACCTCATCGATCCAGGTAGTCTTACTAGGTTATTTCTGCTACTGGATTGAAATAAGCTTGTATGATACTTATTCTGCTTATTTCCATTAAGGACGACTCTCTTTAGTAGAGCCAATGTAGCCCAGTGAGGAGGTGGGCAGCTCTACCTGCTCTCTGTTACCCACAAACATGACACCATGGCCCAACAACTTAGCCATTCTTAATGACTTTAAGAGGGTGGCAGAGACTGTCCTCATTATCATCTCTTTGGCACATTTAGTACTTTAAGCATAGCTAAGGACTGGCTGTTTCTTTGCACCTAGCCAGCAGGAAAAAAATCTACTTGTTTGGCAAATCATGACTTATAATCTATAATTAATCCACAAGATGCTGATGGTGGGCTGGCCGTGACAGAAGCCACCAAGGCAGAGCAGCAGCTCAGGCTCTAGGATCTACAGAGCTTGCCCACTCCAGAGAGGTAAAAATCCCTCAGGTCTAGGATGTCTGGAGTGTGTCCTAGATCGATAAGTGATATCTGGTGTAAGGAAGAAAGCTTTCTCTGCATGCAAGACTTCTCCTGAGTCCATTCTCTCTCATGCACACAAACAACCACACATGCGCCGTCACTGGTTTTGATAACTAAGCCAGGTTTTTTTTAGGTCTTTGTTGAAGAGAGTGTTTGCTATTATATGCTTGCCGTGGCTGGCTGTTCATCCTGGCTTTGGAGCTTTCTGTGTTTTTTAGGGGTGAGAAAGTAGGTGTGATCAGAAAGTTTTCATTGCTGGTACTTTGACCAGATGAAGAAACCCAGGAAGTAGGAATAGTGTTAACATAGTACTTCTTTTTAAAAACTGAACAATTACACTAAAGAAGGGTATCTGTACGTTTCCTAAACTTACCTGTAGTGTCCAAAACTGTAAACATCCATGGAAAAATAAAATTGAATGCTTAGGCTTGGGTATGTGGATAATAATTAGGCAGAAAAAATGAGAAGTACAGAGAACGGGGTTCTGACGGTGTTTTCTAACTGCTTCCATCTCACAGTGGACAGCCCGTGGATGGGGACCCCCCACAGCCCTGAAAGTTGGCCAGGCCTTCTGCTGCGGTCCCTCCCTCGAGTGGTTCAACAGTTCACAGAACGGACGATAAGGAATGGGGCATGACCCAGCAACATGGAGAATGGACATCCATAGCTCTCTTAGATGGACTCTAACAATTACTGTTGTGGACCTTAACATCTGTTCTGAGAGCTCCAACGTGCCCAATCCTAGTGCAATTCATTACTGTCTCTGTGTGACATGCTTAGCACGTGACACATGAGTTCCTGTGCTCAAATGGCAGAAAGGAAAAATTGAGGTCCATTGCAGACCTGTGGTCAGGTAAGCCAAATGTAGACTGGATTCCAGAAGTTCACAATTCCTTAAAATAAAAACAAAAGGGAGGCTGGCAGTTGTTTTAGATCTGACCCAAGTGCAAGAGGATCATCCTAGCCACCACTGCTGGCAGGTGGGGACCTAGTCAGTGGCAGAGAGAGCCTGAGCCCTGGAGTCAGGCTCTACGTGACCATGTATTCACTGTGTGACCCCAGGCAGGAGACTAAAGCCTCAGTTCTCAGTTTTCTCACAGTTTTGAGGATAAGAGATGCACGTGTAACAGGCCTAGAACTGTGACTGGCACATAACACATAACAGGTGCTCAGTAAGCATTACCTCTTGAACAGTGACAGGGCTGGGACTGGATGTGTGAAGGTCCCTCCCTCTGAACCTCTCAAGCCTTAGTTCTGAGACTGACAAAACTGATGGTGTGACAAACCACCCCTGGGC